TCTACAAGAGTTATTCCGTCTTCCCCTGACCTGCAACCCAGCTCCCTGCCTGCCTTTATTTCCTTCGTGGCTCCTGGTATTATTGCAATGTGCAGTACTTCTGTGCTTATTTTCTGTCTGTCCCCGTCACTAAGCTGTTTTGGAACTGGGAACAGTGTCCTGGGCAGCGCTGTGGCCCTGCAGCCGGGCGTAGGTGGCGCTGGATACGTGGTGTTACATGGGGGAGCTGAATGCCTCTAGTTCCATAGCCCCTACCCCAGCCCAACCCGTTTGTTCCAGAGAGGGGCTTTGAGGTGGTTTACCCAAAACAGTGGCTCACAGCCAACGCAAAATCAAAAACGATTAATAAAAAAACCAATGGAGCCAAGGAGTAGTGCAGACAACCCACCCCCATAAAGCCATTTTCCCAGTGGCTGGGCGTGCACCCCGGGGTGGACTGGGAGCCCGCAGAGGCCAGGACGGAGTCCAGCAGGGAGGGGCCAGGGGTGGGCTCTGCAGCCAGACCCCCTGGTCTGAACCTGGCACCTTCTCTTCTCCGCGGGTGATCTTTGGCTCCTTAGTCTCCTCTACACGGGGTGAAGGTGGCCCCGAACCCACGGAGGTGTTGTGAGGGCTGAATGAGGCAAGGCTTGGCCACAGTAAACGCTAAGTGTCCGCCCTCGCTGCTCAAGTCCCCTCCCCGCTCAGGAAGAGTCAGTGTCACAGGTGAGGAAACCGAGGCGGGAGAAGCTAAGTTCACACTCTGGCAGATGGTCATGCCGGAAGAATACGGAAATATCTCTAGGCGTTTAAAAATACACGATTTAGAAACCCTTCTCACATCTGCAACATTTTAACAAGAAGTTTTTGTTTTTGTTCTTAAGAGGCTCTGGAAACGAGACGAATGGCTGTCTGAATGGCTGTCGGACGCTGAAAGAACTCGAAAAGCAACTAGGAGAGAAGGTAACAGAGCTTTTAAAATTCTCCCCCAGCCCCCTCCCTCAGAAGTCGTCGTTAGCAGCGGTAGACGGTGCAAAACCAGCCGCGCACCCAGTAGCCCGTGTTCCCACATCAAAGCCGCCCGGCTAAATAGACCCGGTAACGAACGGCCCACGTGGCCCCACGTGAGAACCGCATTCAGATGAGGGGGGCGGCTCCTTGACGCGTGGCCCCTGCAGAAGGCCCAGATGTTAATTACCTTTGTATTAACTTGCGATCATCATTAGCAGGGCTGCCCTTCCTTTCTGTGTTTGTCTCAGACGGAAGCAGTTTTCTTTAAAGAGAGAAAACCACCGCTTTCCGGCAGTTAGTGCCAATCAAGTGCGGCGTGGCACAAATAGCCGGGGAAACGGGGCCATGTGCCGCAGGCTCGAGGCGGAGAGCCACGGACGCTACTGCGCGTTTACAGTGGGATGTCACGGCACGCAGCTCCTGAGGGCGGGGGAGGAGGACAAGGGACGTGTTCATGGCCCCCGGGGGTTGGAATCAGACCCCCTGTTAAAATGCCCTTGAACCTGTCAGTTGCACGAGCAGCTTGAGGATCGCGGCTTAATTTCTTCGGCTCAGTATGTTGGCTTGAAATGTGACAAGTTTCCTTTCCTTTTTGAGCTCTCCTGAGATTTTCATATGTTTGAATATCAAAAATAGCCAGGAACCCGCAGCAGGCTCGCCTGAGTGCCCCTGGCTGGTGCCGCGAGTGCCAGGGAGCTCATCTGGGCATGACCGCGTTGGGGCCTTACCCGCTCCTCAAAGTCCAGCTCCACATGGTTTGTGCTGGGACAAACCTGCTGTGAGTCCTGGCTCCCTCTGTTGGGTTCCGTTTGTCCTTCTGTAGGAAATACGCAATATGGTCGGTATTGCTGGTGGGGTGTGTCTTTAATTTGTCTCTTCATAAACTGTGTTAATTATGAAATTCTCCCAGGAAAGTCTACTGTTTGTGACTCTCGGATCAACACAAATACCGTTTCGGGTCATTAATGCAACGTTGCGTTAGGCCGCGTGTGGATGTAAGCCGGGACCGTAAATTACTGAGCACGAGGCTTTGCTGGGAGCTAGGAGGGAGCTCCACCGAGCACGAGGCTTTGCTGGGAGCTAGGAGGGAGCTCCACCACTGCCCATCCGCACCTGAGCCCGGCTTCATCCCAGCCCCTCCCCTTCATCCCGTCAGTGGGAGAAGCCCTCCCACTGATTAAGTCAGTTTAGGCGTGTGCAGCTTTCACGCAACTTCTGGTGAGTACTGAAAGGTGACAGTAGAAGGCGGAGGAGCAGGGGATTGAGCGAACCCCACATCTCAGGGCAGCCCCAGGGGTTTCTCTGTTGTGCATTCTGGTCAGCATGAACCGTGGCCCAGACTCTGCCTACGACCCCAGTCCTGGACAGGCAGGTGGAGTGGGGCTCTGCCCCTTTCCAACCTTGGGTGGCCTTGGGCAAGCCCCTGTCACTGGGCATCTTCATCTTAGTGGGGATCATAACACCCTCCGTGAACTGCTGCCGGGTCCCGTGGGCCCTGTATTTGGGGGAACAGGAAGCTCCCTAAGCCCGGGTGGTGCTCAGGGCAAGGTCTTCAGGCTCCGGCTGGCCCCGGTCCCTGCTTTAATCTGCACTCAGGGGGCACGCTGAGCCCTGCACGTACCTCGCACACCCTCAGTCTCTCGGCCCCCGCTTTCCATTGGTCATGAATACGGCTGTGCTTTCCTTCGGCTCCTCTCCGCGCCTCTGACTGGGTGTCTCCTGGCTGGTCCTTGAGCGCTCTGGCTTTCCTGGTCCAGAAGGCAGGGGGATAAAGTGGGAATCAGACGCTGGCCTGAAACCCAGGCTCTGCAGCTTCTGCGGGGGCCGTGGACTGGTCTCTCCCTCGCTGCCCCGAGTCCTCGCTCCCCTGCGCTGCCTTATCTCTAAGGCGGAGACAGCAGAGCTCATCTATGAGGGTGGTTCTGATAGAATGAGAGAGTGAATGGTAGTCCCTTCCTCCACCAGGGAGGCTGGCTCTGGTCAGGCACTAGAACCCTTCCTTTGGGGGCTTTACCTGCCACCAGGTGGCACCCCCCAGCCACCCCAAGGCATTTGGTTGTCCCACCCCGCGAGAAACACAAAACTCCAGCTGCACCAGCTGAGATGATAGCTCCTCACCTCATCCAAGAAGTCCGGAGGGCGTGCAGGTCCAGTGTCCCCGGTCACCAGGAGGTTCCCCGCAGGCTTGACCTGCATACACTGCAATGTCACATTTTTCCCCAGCATGCTGTTTCTCCCGGTACAATGCTGTAAACACGGAGAATCTTCTCCCCATGACTCACGGCCCAGAACTTATGCTCCATACCCACACCAGCCACTGGCGATGGCATCAGTTGCCCCTGTGTGGCGGCTGGGCTCCCTCCCCTGAAGCACGTGGCCAGTGGAGGGTGGGTATCTGAACAAAATGGAAACTGGAGAGTTTAGTTAGGAGAAAAGAGATAAATGAACCCCCCCCAACCACGGGATCCCCCCAGGCGGGCTGGGCCTTCATCCTTTGGGCACTAATGTGATTCTTTGGATTTTGCCACCTCTAGTAATGATAACAGCACAATGGAGCACTTACAGGAGCGGCTGCAGGTGCTTTCCCGCCCTACCTTATCTGATCCTCAGGAGAGCCCCAGGGGCAGGTGCCATGGAGAGAGACTCAGCAGAAGCCCAGCAGCCTGGCCAGGGCCACGCGGCCGCCATGCTGCCCTGGCAGCTGGGCTCCAGAGTCCTTGCCCTTCACCCCTGGGCAGCCTGCCTGCCTCTCCGCGGGCCTCCTCGGGAAAGGTTCTGATGCTAACCTTGCTGTCAGAACGTGACTGTGTGTTGTGGCTGTGGGCAGGCCTGGTGCATCAGAGTCTGCCCACCATTGTCATACGCATGGACGGAGTTTTCTGTTCTGACCACAGTCATCTTCTCATCCAGGTGGCATCGACTTCACATGGGCATTTGGGAGTCTCCCTTTCCCTTCTCTCTCCAGCAGCCTGTCCTCACATTCTCCCCAACTCCTCCGTCTCCCCTTCTCCCCACCTGCCCCAGGGCCCCAGCTCCATCTGGAACCATGGCTGTGGCTGTGGCCATGGTCGTGGCTGAGGCCCAGGACTTGGCCATGGTCGTGGCTGAGGCCCAGGATTTGGGCCTTCACCTTCTCTAGGACAAAATGACTGAGGTCAAGCTTCCGTGTGTTGCCGGGATGGCTAAATTTTGGTCTTTTTACTCTGTTTATCTTTGGTGAGCCCCACAGGAGGGGAAGGAAGAAGCGGAGGGAGAGGCTGGCGAAGGACGAACCTCTCGTCTTGCCGCCTGAGGTGGGCGAGTGCTCGCTGTGACCCTGTCCAGGAATTCAGAGGGACAGGAGCTCCTGGGACCCTCAGGAGAGCACAGCAGGGGAGGGGACTCCTGCAGTAATGTCAACTAAAAAAAGCACAGTGCAAGCCCTTCCCCTCCCACAGAATTCAAGAATGTCTAACTCTGTTGATGACACAAGAAAAAAGAGTAGGCAAACACATCCTGAGCCCCAGGCTGTGTGCTCTCGTACCCGTCCACTGCCCCAATCGGGGACCAGGGACGCTGTTTCAAGCCCAGGCCCGTGATGTCAGGACATCTGGCCTACCCAGCCAGCCGTGGCTGGTGTGTGCCGGACACCCAGCGATCTAGCACGTGCGTTTATGGGATCACCGGGTGCCTGGGCGCCCTATGGCGACAGCCTCAGTCCTTCCAGAAGCAGTCAGTCAGTAATTAGAGGGGCTGAGCTGCTTGCTTGGTCTGTGATATCCCCATGAGGAGAAGACAAGTGATGGGTAGATTCATTCTCCTAAAAAGGGAAGAAATTAAAAAGAAAATTACGGCCTGAGGAATAAAGGACAGTCGCTGGAGTCACAGCCATTTTATAAACGCGCCTTAACGTCATAACACCCGTTAGCCGGAACGACGCGCCCGAGAGCAGTGCGTCTGCCCCAAGAAGAGACGGCGTCAGGCCCCGCGCGGTGCCCGGAACACACAGCTTCCCGTGAGCGCGCCGTTCCCCGCCCGCCGTCGGCCCCGCCCGGTGCTCCAGGTATTAATTGCCTCTCACGGCAGGTATCTGAGCACATCTCCTCTCTCATCTGAAGGAAATATTAGCATATCGCAGCGCTGTTGGGACAGATTGCATCTGAGGCGCTTTTTCCTCCCGCGGAAAAGCCCATCAATCATAGCCGAGCACAGTGATTAATAATGTCACAGCTGCTCGCGTGTCTGCGCTGTGAACGGGGACACGGGGACACGGAGACGCGGAGATGGCGCTTGCGTCTGAGCTGGAGCGTTGCAGCTCACAAACAGCCACTCGTCATGTTACAAAAATTACGCCGAGAACACTCCTACTCCAGCACCTCTTTCTCGGTGCTCTGTTATTAGCTTATTAAAGGCTTCGCCGGGAAACTAAAGCAAAGATCCTGTTATATCAGAATTGGTAATTATTTCAGAATGTTTATCTTTTTTCTTTTTTTTTTTAAATGACATCTTCCTGTGTGTGGCAAGTCAGCAGTACAAATAAGCTCGTAGGGCAAGTGTTTAAAGCAGCGCGGGGTAGGGGCCGGGGCGCGCCTGGGC